CGCGGTACGAGGGCTCCTGACGAGCTGCCTCGGCCAATGTCTGGAGTTTCACAGCCTAGACCTTCTACCTACACAATGGGGCCATTATGAAGAATTTATAGTGGAGCTTCCGTAATAGCCCTTTCTGTAATGGAGTGTGTAGGACGCTGCTGGCTTTTTACAAAAATGTTAAAGGATCGAAAGCGCTGCTAAAGGTGAAACACGCATTATCGCTGAACGGCATGCCATTAGAAGCTCTTGTAGATAGTGTCAGTCGTTGGCACGAATCCATGGTTTTGTAGACATTTGTACTAGACAGTGACTCGGAGTACGGATTTACTAAGTGGTCGAGATTTTTTTGAATTTTCTTGGATAACTACTGACTGCAGAACTTATATCCACCTCGTGGATTGAAGCCACGAGAATGCTCTATCATTTGTTAGTCATAAATGTTACCTATGATTTTTCAAAAAAAATTAGAAAGAGTGTTGCAGAACTTTCTTTCTGATACATTCTCTTGTTGTAGGTAAGTTATGTACAAACTGCAGACTGAACGGCCAGTGATAGCTGGCCACTTGCTGTGTACACGTTCACCATTAGTTCACGCGGATGCATGCCTACATCAATGAACGAATGGACAATGACTTGCACAACTCGTAGGATCGGAGCTCCTTATGTCCACCGACTTTGCTTTACTGCTTTATCGTTCGAAATACACCATAAGCTCTGTATGAGTAAGGCACATTGACCTGGAATACGACTGTGTCTGATTACTTTATTTTATTTACTTTATTTATTTATTACGTTTGCATAAGCAATCGTGAGAAAGTCATACAATTATTTAGAATTGTATAACTAGAACAACACCTCAGTATTTAAAACATGTGACACGAAATAAAGCATATTAGCTCCAATGGACCACACCAGAATTATTAGCACATTCTACAGGGTGTCCCATAAATATTGCACCACCTTCTTTACTTGTACCTTCTTTCAAAACGAATGTATCTTCAAGAGGTTTCATAAATTTTCAGCAATACATTTACATATTGAAGGAATGACATTCATTGGCTATGCTCCCCTCTTGTTGTGAGTGTGGCTCCCAATTGCTTCGAACACAACCCTACTGTGGCCCGCATGGCATCCTGTTTGTTCCTTTCGTAACATTGCAGAGAAAACGCACGGCTCATCCATGTGTGTGCAATGTTTAGTGCAGGCTCTGCCCCTAACATAGCCCACATAGGATGGTCCAACGCGTTAGAATGAGGGATAGGAGAGCCATTCGTTCGAGGATGTGAAATCGGAAAGAGTGCCTTAACAGCGCTCCTGAACAATTTTTGCCTCCTATGCAGAAGCTGGGTCCTATTGAAAAGATCATCACCCCTCCTCAAAGTGGCTAGATACCTCAGTAACAGATGGTGCACCGAAATGTCCCTTGGCTCGGTCTAGTATCAAGTTGTATTCCTTTGTAAACAGGCAGTGATGGTGAGCGACCGGTAGTTGAGACCCCCGTCCAGACCATGATAAGGTTCGGCTGCTGCTTGTGGCGAATATTCCTTTCACTCTCACTGACTTCCTCAAGACCTCATGCGGGCATCCTCGGAGTTTGAAGATTGTAGCTCCGCTCCATGTGAGGAATTTTGTCGTCGATGAAAACGGTGCCCGCGTAATCGCCATTTTCGGCCCTCGACACCAGCTCTTTGAACTTTTTGTCTCTGCTGTGCTCCTCCCGTTGGATTGAGCAGTGGTGCTTATGCAACTTATAATGGACTGTGAGCAGTTGTTATCCGACCACTCTCTACATGGCTGTGTTTAGAAACTCCAGCGTTCTGGTCACCTTTCTCGAGCCAACCCGGGCAGTCGTTTCGCTTCTTCATGCTTTTCCTGAGATCCAAGATGTCAGAACTTGTGGGGCGGCCACAACAAAGACTACTTTTATTGGTCTTCTCTTAGTGCACGGTAGGCCGCGGAGCGGTTGAAAATCCAAAGAAGCGCGATGCTCATCACCGGATGTCCGACCTAGCTGTGTGAGAGGTTAGGCACTCTGTTGAAGTTTAGGCGCACCATGAGATGCAGGCCGAACGGTAAGCCGTGGAATTTGGCATGGTCATTGACAAGAGGATAGAGGATTGAAAGGTCTGCAATCTCGGAAGAAAAGCTATAAACACCTACAGAATTTGAGCTCAAAATTTGGTGCAATATTTATGGGACACCCTGTAAACAAACCTAGTTGGACAGTCAATCTCAGGGGACTAAGAAATTTCATATTTGAGCAATTTTGTAGATATTTCCTTTTGAACTGCCTCAACGACAAATGACTACTTATATTTTTGGTAACATTTATAAGCATTTGCCGCTCTGCATGTGAAGCTCTTGGCTCTTGTTTTAGGACACACTACCATTATTTGGGCCTTCCTCTTTTTGTCCAAGAAAGAGTTGTTCGATAAAGATCATTTGAGCCAGAGCAGAACGAAAACAGTAGCTTATGAACCATACAAACATCATATACTTACGCCTTGACTCAAGTGTGAACAGATTGAATTGTTTGTTTCTGATCGATGCTCTGGAGATTTTTGAATTCAGGAAACTTGAAAAATTACTGAATACGGTAAATGTATATTCAGTCACCAATCGATACGAGGGACTCCGAAGCGTGACGCTCTCCCATTGATGGACATTGTTGAACAACTCATCTCTTCTCTTTCTCTTTCTTCAGTGTCCGCTCCTAAACTCATATCCAATTTATGTGGACAATAAGCACGACTTTTTTCTATAAGTTTTGGCCTTACAACTGAGACAGCCTGGTGCCTACTGATTGCGTCTTCATTCTATCAGTGGCAGCATTTGCAGCTGAATTCCTGACGCATGACTGGTTCCTGCTGCTGCCTTCGTCATGTGGTTGTTTCTGCACCAACATTCCTCCATCACCCTCCTTATTCGACAAATTTTTTCCAACACTTTTTTGTTAAATTTCTCATTCTCCTATCATCATCATCATTTGCTGCCCGCGTCTTCATTACATGGTAAATTCGCTGGTTACTAAGTAAAATAGCTATTTTTTCTAGCTTTCTGCTCTAGTCTCATCCCAACCTACACACACCCGGTATTTATTCAGCAAGTTTTCAGTTTTCAAGCGAGAGATTTCAGAGAGATGTTAATTGATCCCAAGGGTCCGCTA